GAGAGAGAGAGAGAGAGAGAGAGAGAGAGAGAGAGAGAGAGAGATTTTCAATCTGATATCAAATTTTCAATCTGGTATCAAATCTTCAAGCTGATATCAAATTTTCAAACTGATATCAAATTTTCAATCTTCTTGGCTGAATAACACCTATGACGTGGACTGTAAACAATTTGAAGGTCGGAGTATACGAACGAATCGCAAGGCTGAATAAAAACTTGCAAACTGTTCAGCGGACTCATAGGGTATAGAGAGAGGAAAGATAGGAAAGGGAAGTTTGTGTCGTGTCTCCACGCATGCGTTTCACGCAGTGCGCACAAAGTAGTTGGTGCTCCACTTCTCTGCTCAATGGTATGTTGCTATGCCTGTGCTATGCCTGCGTGTTGCTTGTGCTATGCCTGTGCTATGCCTGTGCTATGCCTGTGGTATGCTATGCCTGTGCTATGCCTGTGGTATGCTATGCCTGTGCTATGCCTGTGCTATGCCTGTGCTATGGCTGTGCTGTGCCCTGTGCTATGCCTGTGCTGTGCTTGTGCTATGGCTGTGCTGTGCCCTGCGCTATGCCTGTGCTGTGCTTGTGCTATGGCTGTGCTATGCCCTGTGCTATGCCTGTTCTATGGCTGCGCTTCGCTTGTGCTATGCTTTGTCCACTTCTTGTGCTATGCCTGTGCTATGGTTGTGCTATGCCTGTGCTATGGTTGTGCTATGCCTGTGCTATGCTTGTGCTATGCCTTGTGCTGTGCCTGTGCTATGCGTGCTGTAAGATCCGTCTCCCATGGACCAGGGAAGAAACGGAACTTCTCTTTTCTTTGTTTCTTTTTTTTCTCTTTCTTTTTTCTCTTTCTTTTTTCTTTTTTCTTTTTCTTTTTTCTTTTTCTTTTTCTTTTTCTTTTTCTTTTTCTTTTTCTTTTTCTTTTTTCTTTTTCTTTTTCTTTTTCTTTTTCTTTTTCTTTTTCTTTCTTTTTTTTCTTTTTCTCTTTCTTTTTCTCTTTCTTTTTCTCTTTCTTTTTCTCTTTCTTTTTCTTTTTCTTTCTCTTTTCTTTTTCTTTTTTAAAGAAAATGAACTTCTCTTTGATCCGTCTCATTCAGATCTCAACTTGCATTCTGAGGTGACTCACTCCTTCCCCTAAAATCTCCCTTCTTCTTTTTTTTTTTTTTTTAACTACCCTATATTCTTCTCTCAGTATATCTCCCACTACCTATCTATGCCTCTTCCAGTTTTCTCCAGAGGAGTTATGCTATCTCTGAAACCCAGCCTTCCTACTCTGCTCTATGTGGGGAGCAGTACCCAGCGAATTATGCTCCTGCCACCTGCGAATTAGATGACACTGTTCAACGTCGTCGACATAATCCTGCGCTCCTTTCAATTATAGAGGGGGGGGGGATGAAAAAAAAAAGAAAAAAACTCCTGGAAGTGAGCATTTTGCNNNNCCCCCCCCCCCCCTTCTCCTGTTAACTCTCAAAAAAATCCAAAATTGGGTTTGAAAATCTGCTTTCACAGTGTACTCTGGGTGTGCTTGGGCTACAGATGATGCGGAATCAGCCAACTTCCGAAGACTTCATTACCCTTTACGCAGGCCAAGTTTCAGGTCTATTACCCCCTTTTCTCTTGGGGAGAAGGTAGGGAGGGGGTTGCGTTTAAAGAAGCCTTTAAAGCTTAAGCTTTTAAAGTTCAAACTTTTAAAGTGTCATTTCAAGGTTCCGTTGACCCCTTTAAAAGTTTAGACTTTAAAAGCTTAAGCTTTAAAGGCTTCTTTACATGCAGCAGAATTAAAGGCAAAGGAAAAGAAAGAAGCGGGATTGTGCTCGTTCGCCCTGAAGACAAACCCAACTGCATAGAGAGGCAATCGCAATGGCAATCGCAATCGCAATCGCAATTTCGCAATTGCAATCGCACTCGCAATCTAATCTCAGAGCGGAGCTCAAAGAAAAAGAAGGAAGATGTCTGCCGATGAAGAAGAAGTGCAGCGTAAGCAGGAGGACGATGAAGAGCAGGAGATTGAGGAGGAGGAGCAGGAGGAGGAGGAGGAGGAGGAGGAGGAGGAGGAGGAGGAGGAAGAAGAAGAAGAAGAAGAAGAAGAAGAAGAAGAAATGAATGAAAAAGGAGAAGATGAAGAATCAGAACGAAGAAGTAAGAAGAAGAAGGAGAGGTGGTTAACAGAGGCCCAAATTTTCAGAAATTTGTCATGCAATTTATAAGAAAACCCAAGGCCCTTTTTAATCAAACTTGTCAGCCATACATAGAGTGAACACCATACTAACTCACAGGGGGAAAAAAAAAAAACCGAGAAAAAAAGTTGGAATAAAAAGCCATAAAACTTCAAGGCAAAGGTGCACTTCCCCGTTAACCAGTAGTGAAGAAGAAGAAGTTGATGATGTCAACAAGAAACAAGAAACAAGAAACAAGAAGAAGAAGAAGAAGAAGAAGAAGAAGAAGAAGAAGAAGAAGAGGAGAAGCATAAGGCAAAGGAGGACGAGGAGAAGAAATGAGAAAAAGGACAAGCAGGAGAAAACGAAGAAGAACAAACAAAAACAATGAAGAAGAATTAGACTAAGAAGACGAAGAAGTGACGGCTGATACGCTGATACCGCTGACTGCTATGAAAACTGTCCTCTGAATCAGTCACCAGAAGTCAGTACAGGTTCATGAACGGTCAGTCTGACGGTCTGAGCTGCAAACCGCTAGCACAGATAGTCGTTGCATTCAGGATTTTTACAGCTCCGGTTGAGGATGTCTTTTTTCAATCGGACGGTAACATTTCTCTTTTTTCAATCGGACGGTAACATTTCTCTCTTTTGCTGTGAATGGAGCCTCTTTGATAACCATTGGAAGATAGATGCCTCTCGCCTCGCGAGAGTAAGCATTGCATTTGTGATTGCATTTGTGTTTGCATTTGCGTTGTTATGTTGTGACGTAATCATTTGTCAGAATGTTTAGAAGTTCGAACGCTTGCCGAGCCATTCATGCTGTCTCTCCGTCCTCCTTTCTCCTTCCTCCTTCCTCCTTCCTCCTACCGATTCCTCCTTCCTCGAAACTTCGAAGGCCATCCATTGGAGCCATTCATGTTCTTGTCACTCATGCACCAGAGGACTGGCAAAAAGCGCGTCAGAACGCAATCCGTAGGCACTCAGACGTGTACATTCGCGGGTCCATCATCAGTCGTTGTGTGCCACGCAGGAGTGTAACATAATACAAAATGGCAACTGCATGCATAAGACATTTTGAGAGAGAGACATTGAGAGAGAGAGAGAGAGAGGTGCATGTTATTACTTGAGCATGACAGAAGTGTTTCATCTGAAGAGCATCTCTCAGGTGCATGTTATTACTGAGCATGACAGAAGTGTTTCATCTGAAGAGCACCTCTCTCTCTCTCTCTCTCTCTCTCTCTCTCTCTCTCTCTCTCTCTCTCTCTCTCTCTCTCTCTCTCT